CCATCTATAGGCTGCCCTCCAGAAGTGCCACGAGAACCCCCTAGAACGGTTGTATCCATCTACATATGGACATTCTAAAATCCACATGGTGGTAAGTGGGCACGGTATCTTTGCCCACTTTTCTAAAATTCCACGAAAGTGGTAAGTGCGCACGTTCTACTTTGCCCACTTCTCTAAAATCCTTTATGGTCAGAGTTACGCGCACAGCTTCGTTCTCTTTTTCTGAGTGGTCTAAAACCCCGGTTCCCACTCCTCATGGTATCCAGTATCCGGTATCAAGTTCCACGAAAGGGTTTTTGTGCCATGCTGCGGACACAAGCTTCAGACGAAGAAGTGAATGATGTGCGCTACCGGCGCCTATTTTGTGCTAGTCGCGACGGTAGTGACGTCATGGCTGTTGCCGGCCAAACAAGTTGGTGTTTTTTCAATGTAGGCTTCAGACACGGGTCACGACAGGGCGTTCCCCATAGCAACCCCTAGAGGATGCAGTGTCTCGTTCCCCTCAGGGAACCATGGTTACATAAGTAACCCGAGACGGTTTTCTGCCTCAGAGTAAAAAAAAAAACGGTAACTGTGAGATGATATGTTACAATAATAAGAATTGTGAGATGTAAAGACATTGTTTGCTATAACCTCACATTGTGACAAGAATTTTAAAGTTGCAAGACAAAGTTAAAATTACAAGATATAAAGTAACTTTGTGAGATAAAAGTCACACTGTGAGATAAAAAATTAAAAGAAATAAAGTCGCAGTTGTGAGATATAAAGTCAGTTATTAGAATCTGAGTTGCAATTGTGAGATATTTACAATTGCAAATTGTTGAAGTGGCAATGTGAGATATACTTTAAATTCAGTTATGAGAAAAAGTTGTGGAATAAAAGTCACACTGTGAGATTAAAAATATATATCACATTTTGAGATATAAAGTCAGTTATGAGTTGCAATTGTGAGATACTTACAATTGCAAATTGCTGAAGTCACAATGTGAGATACTTTAAAGGGGTCATATGATGCTGCTAAAAATAACATTATTTTGTGTATTTCGTATAATGAAATGTGTTTATGCGGTTTAAAGTTAAAAAAACACATTATTTTCCACATACTGTACATTATTGTTTCTCCTCTATGTCCCGCCTTTTTGAAACGCGTCGATTTTTACAAAGCTCATCGGTCTGAAAAAGCGAGGTGTGCTGTGATTGGCCAGCTATCCAGTGCGTTGTGATTGGCCGAATACCTCAAGCGTGTGACGGAAATGTTACGCCCCTCACCATACTGTTGATGCCGTGTCCCGGCCGGAGCGACGAGACAAAAACATGAAAACCCATTACAAACTAGGCATTTGTTGCATCCAGTGGGGGCATAATAACTGATTATAATGACTTATACTGTCTTTTTACGCACTGCGTTGCATTGCATCGCGCCGCGTAAACATAAAACCCTGTCTGCATTTGTGATCAGAGAAATGACAAACAACAAGTGCTACTCCACACTGCCCAAAACTTGCGTTTGAATCATCAGTGGCAAATCCTTTAAATGAAAA